TGAGTCAACCCTGAGCCGGTGAGATTTGAACCGCTGACCTGCTGATCTAGCAGTAGCCTGCAGTGCTGCATTTAACCACTGCGCCACCTTGGCTCAGGAAGTCACCTTGGCTTAAGGAAGTCACCACATGGCCATGGCCAATTCTATGCCTTATTTTGTGGCAGTCATGAAGTGAATTTATTATTAAGGAATCCATTGTTTCTAATGGGCATTTTTTGTGAGAAACTGAAAGTAAACTGTGGTTTCCGACCAAAAAAAACATTGTAAATTGTGGTCATGTGACTGGAAGGTGCGGCAAATGACTGCAAATGCAGACAGGTTGCCAAGCACCCAAATGTGATCATGTGACCATGCAGCAGGGAGGCTTGGCCATCAGAATCTCAAATCTAGGTCATACAGTAAGTATGAAGTCTGTTACAATTTTGATTAATCATAAGTCAAGAACTACCTGTACATCGAAACAGTCATTGTAGCAAAGCTAGTCTTTTACAGGCATTTTGTGAAATGACAGGATTCTTTCCCTAATTTTTTTCCTAAAACAAATGCACAGAACAAATGTCCCAGTATCTTCTCTATATAAGCTTCAATGTCTCTTTCTTTTGTTATAAATCCCTCTTGACTATGTAGCATTGCATAATCCCACTTAACTAGCCAGATAATCATTGTAAAGAAAATACCAGAAGAGGTAATAAGAATGGTAGATGTCTTAATGACAGTAGGAGGGGGGTCTAATTTGAAGCTAAAAAAAATCAGGGTCCAGGTAAGATTTGAGTAGAGTCTAGATACCAACTGCTTTTCATTTACTATGTTCCACATATACTGTACCTCTAATATGGATTAATACTTTGAATAGAGAATTAAAAATGCACACAGCATTGACATGAGTGCTTTCCAGGTCTTGTGCTTTAAATATTAGCTACCTGTTTAATTTTCCATTCCTTTTTTCTCATTCTTTTCTTTCTAACCACTTTGCTTGCTTCACACAGAGCCAAAGAAGAGAGACCAGATGTAAGCCCTACCCCTGAACCGTGGGCAATTTTTCCTATGGAGTGTCCAATTGTGCTGCGCAAAGTTCTGACCAAAACTAATGACGGCTTAGGTTGCAAATGTGTAGTAAAAATCCCATTAATTACAGATTTGGAATTTGAAAAGTTTATCACTGCCCCAAGACACCCTCAACAAGTCATTGTGATATGTGTGTTGTCACCACAAAAACATTCCTTCTCTCCTTTCTTTGAGTGGTCTGTTGAACAGCTGTACATAAAGTTGCAGCATGGCCGTCCCTCACCTTGTATTCAGGTAAACTAAATGTTGATGCTTTATACATGGGTTTTCCCAAAGCAGGTTCATACTTTTTAGCTGGATAATCACTATTTCTATTTTATGGAGCTGAAATAGTGATTTAAGAATAGGGAGTTCATTAATCACAGAATTTGGCTCAGGCTTATTATTTTGTGATTTGGAAAAGAATTAGAAGCAGCCTGTTTATTTATTTAATCAAATTTACATGACTTGTTTTTCATTAGTAGAGAATTTTGTTTTCTTTTAACTCCTGTAAGATGGACAGTGGGAGGAGCAAAAAGTTTCAAAAATAAAATAAATGTGATAAAGCAGTCTCTCCCATCTGAATTACAATGTTTCAACCCAGATTGAGGCCATGTATGTGTACAATAAAGAAAACAAGAATAAATAAAAGGATCAGCTGTTTACTACATGCACAGTATAAGCCAGATCTTAACAGCCATTGACAGAAATTATCATGGAATAAATGTTCATAATATTGCATTGTAAATTATGAAAGATTACTAAATCACAGAATTTTATTTTATTTCCATAATTTATTCACAACAAATCTGATTAGCTGTCAGATTATGAAAAAAGGAATATGCACTCCTCCACTGAATCCATTTTCTCATTTGGTTTTTTTCCCCACAAAACAAAATTGGTGGGATTTGTTGTAAATTATATATTATAAATATCTTGTTATCACTGTTAATTAAAGTAGAATTGACTTAGCAGATGAAGGCAAGAATTATCTGCTCCACCATTTTTTTTTCTGACAGTGGCCATTTTGCTGACTCTTGTTTGAACTCAGGATCTTGGGGTTTATATTTGTTCTGAATATCAAAGTTTAATTTAGCTGTTATGGTCATTAAACAGTTATAGATGTCTCCCCAGAGAATTTCATCATCCTCTTAAAATACATTAACATAACAAAAAGATTATATTTTAAGGGCAGATGAGATAATTATCTCCAGTTACTTTTTATGTTTATTTCAGACATCTGACCTCAGCTTCTGTTTTTTTTAAGAGGAAAAATGATGGGCTATCTGGGATTTTAATTGTATCCATGTTTTGGTTTTTATTTTGGGGGTTCTTTTTCCATAGCTTTAACTTTTGATCTGGCAACTAGTTTTAGCTGTCATCTTAATTTCTCACATAGGAATACAGTGAAAAAAGGATTCGGTATCCATGGACTTTAGATTTGACAAACTATCCACTTCCACCAGTTTTAGGCTCTGACCATGCACACAGCCAGAATGTAAATCTGACAAGTTTTGACTGAGGTGATGGAGACAGAAAAATAAGTCTCCCACCTGTAATCAGAAAGAGCTTTAGTAATATCCAATTCATCCTGTCTGCATAGTGAAGCATTGTTTCTCCATTTGAGAAAAAATGTTTATGAGACAAGCACACAGGACATTTCCATAAAATGATACAATAATTTACTGCCTTTACAGAGCAAGCATGATTCCTACCGTTTCCTGAAATATGATCTAGAGAATCCACTGAATAAAACGCCTCCTCTTCTGGTGCAGAAACATGGTGTCGTTCCTGGAATGGTGGTGGCAAGTATCTGATGGGTTTCTTGCAAAGCCTATTGACCTTTTCATTTCATTTCATTCTTTCCTAATAATGCATTGAGGCAATTTTCCATAACCCGATACTCTCCAGATAACTTTATAATCCACAACTGCATGTGCTGATCAGAAGATATGAGTGTTGAGAGTCTAAAACATTGAGAAAGTACCATGCATTCTGCGAATGGACAGTGATAGAAACAGCCAAATATATTTCTTTAACTTTAAACTCTACTGTCTAGATTTGGATATTTGTTCCCTTTCTGGCAGTTTGAATCAACCAGGTGAGCAATGATGAGGTTTACATGTGGCAGAGATTTCTTCAAACCTGTCCACTCTTGAGAGCCACAATTTAAGAAACAAAACTTGAGATTGCAGCTCAGAGCAGGTTCGAGTGATATGAATATGCTTTATTGACTGACCTTCTGGCCAGGTTTTTGCTAATAAGAGTCTGGGCTTATCTAAATGCTTCTGACTATTATGTCACAGGTGCAACAAGTATATAGAAATAATTCTCCTGTACTGTCCTTATTACTACCATGTAGGCTCAAAGCAACAAACAGCACCTTGGCTGCTTTCTTAAATGGTAAAAAAGAATTCTTCTGGGATGTTTTTTTTTAAACTTCCTGGTCTAGTTTTCAGAGATTTTGTGATATCCTGTTGGGCAAGAATTAACCAAGCTCAGTCTTGGTTCAGCTCTTTAAAATTACTATCTAGACAAAGTCAGTCAGGTGCTGTACTCTCTTGCTGAGGCAGACACTAATTGCATTTCTGACAATAGTATGCAATACTTCTTTTGTTATAAAGAAAACACATGGAGAATTGTAGTTAACTTTGGGAACAAGGGGTTGGTGAGTGTGAAGAAATTTCCCTTTATTCCTTTACTCCAAAGTCTCAACAAAACTTCTCTGATGTTGCAATTAACATTTAGATAGGTCATGTTTTTTGTGATTAAATTAAAAAAAATAATTCCATATGATGATACATTTGTCTCACTGATTCAATATTCTTAATTAACCAGGTTTATCCCAAAGGTGCTTTTTCAGGAGGCAACTAGAGTTTCTTGTTTTTTTGAAGACATTTCGCTTCTCATCAATGGTGGGTTCCGGATTCCGTTGCAGCCAGTACAGTTGCAACGGGGCCCAGCATCCTCCACATGAACGTGCACAGCATGTGCACACATGCACGTAGCATGCACATGTGACTTACCCTTCAGCGACGCCTCTGTGACGCTCCAGCTGCTTGGTGGAGCATCGTTTAGGCAATGTATAAGCCGTGTGCGGAAGCGCCGAAGACTTTAAGGACAGGTAAGGACAATGGGCAGGCAGGTGGGCGCTCTGGAGCACCGTACCGGAACAGTATCCAGTGCTCTGGCCAGGCACCGGTATGCCCGTACCAGGGCGTACCCCCTGCAACCCATCACTGCTTCTCATCCAAGAAGCTTCTTCAGCTTTTAAAGCTCTAATCATCTTAGAGCTAAACAAGCTTCTTGGATGAGAAACAAAACATCTTCAAAAGAAAAAACAAGGAAATCCAGTTGTTTCCTGAAAAAGCACCTTTAGGACAACCATGACCTGGATGACTGAGAATCTCTACAGACTTTTAACATTCACACATAAGTTGTGAAAAATTTGACTTATTTATTTCCTTTTTAAGAAAAGACTTAATTCTCAGTCTCTTTCTGATTTAATCTATTTTCCTGATCTGTGAAATTAACATCCTGATCTCAGTTTAAACTACAGGAAAATTGAAGCATCAAGAAAAGGTCTTCTTCATATATATAAACATGCAGTAAGTGAATGTCTGAGATTGGAATCCTATTCACTGCCCCGAATCTCATGCCATGTGCCAAAATCACACAGTTGTGCTAAATAATACAGGGTTCTAGTTATGCCTGGAGTACATTAAACTTATTTTAGGGTCTTTGGCACACAAAGGGAGTTATTCATGGTTCACGTTCATTGACAGAGGCACCTACTCAGATAAAACAGAGACTTCTAGTGAACACAGTCTTTTTGTGTTCCAGTACTGCTTTTTTTTTAATTGCCTGTGAATCCCTCAGTCTGGAGGGGTAATGCCTTGGGTAGGGCATATTCAGCATTTCTAAGGATTCTGCTGCTGTAGAAACAGCATTTTACTTTCAGCATATCAGAAGCTATTGGGTACCACTTGGTATTGAAATGTTATGAGGGAAATGCAGCTGATATTTTTGAAAATGAGGAAAGGATTTGTGTTCCTTGAAAGAACTGTTATATAGGGTCAAGCTATTTTCCAAGGTACCCGAAGGCCAGACAAGGAATAATGGATGGAAACTGAACAAGGAGAATCAACCTAGAAATAAGGACACATTTTCTGACAGTGAGAACAATTAACCAATGGAACAGCTTGTCTTTGCAAGTTGTGGGAGCTTCATCACGGAAGGCTTTCAAGAAGAGATTGGACTGCCATCTGTCAGAAATGGTGTAGGGTCTCCTGCTTGGGCGGGGATGGAGGTTGGACTAGATGACCTACAAGGTCCCTTCCAACTGTTAATCTGTTTCTGTTTATTTTAGCAAAACAACAACAACCCTCACACCTATTTGGAAAGAAACTAATAGATCAAATTATAAAATGTACAGATGGATTTCACTTTCAGAATTAAATATTGCAAGGATTATATTAAAATAACATCTAGACCTATGAAGGTCATTATTTATCAGCTCCTTTTTAAATCCACATTTATCCAGTTTACCTTATGGAAGTTTAGTGTGTGACTTTCCCTAACACTTATTATTTTTGATATAAGTTTTAGCTCTTAACTTTTTAATGCGTAATTTAACACATATTTTTATTACTATTATTTTACATCTTACATTTTTTCACTCCCAAGATACGTTTTTGAAAGCAGCTTTCAGAAATTCATGCTTTCTAGGCTTTTTTTACACATTTTTTTTCTAGAGAGAATTTTTTTTACTAAAAAAGAAAAACAAATGCTACTGGATCCATTCAGTGCTGTGGCTGTCCAATATACATTAGAGTTCATTCTGCCAGTCCTTAAAAATCTGCTTCCATAGAATTTCATGGTGGGTTACTTTTATATTTCTACTGACAGTGTTATTTTTCAGCTTTTTCATAGATGCCTGTAGTCCCATTTCCCAATTTAATTTAGTTAGCTTTTAATTACCTTGAATTTTCAACTGCAACAGCTTTTTAAGAGTTTAGCCTGTTTCTTTACAAGACCACCACCACGAACACTGATGGGCAAGTCACCAGAATATAAACTGACAGCGAACAGCACTCCTTATTAGCACTGATGATGTTACTTAGTTAAGGTAATGAAACGTCTGCAAGAAAACAAGCAACCTCAGAGAGCACTAAGGACCCCTTATTTACATATCTTTTTTGAATTATGTGACTTGATTTTTAAATAAATATCATTAACATATGGAAATTCAGCCATAATAGTGTATGTGACAGGGACAATTAATAATGTGGAGGTCAGGCTAGCAACACAAGGTTCTATATTATCTTTCATGGTTTTCAGTGAAAATATCTTTCTAAAGATGTGAGAGTGAAGGACTTTTCTTGTCTGGTGAGTGTAGTCTTGATATGAAAATAGCATGTATGAAATGTTTAGATGGCCATTTAGGTGTGGAGAAAAAGCCAGGCTGGGATATGACATAGATTAGCAAGGACATCTAACATCCAGTTGTTCAACAATAGTAGACGTGCTGCTGAAATTAAAATACCATGGGAGTACCTGGAATAGTTTTGTCTGTGAAAGGATGGAAATCTTTGGGAATTTTAATTTATTTCTTTATTATGTTTTCTGGCAGTCTGACATAAAACAAAATAGAATTAACAAATCTGAATTTTGCCCAATCCTATTCAAAACATTGCATATAACCGTTGCTTATGATTATAATTAGCATTACCTGGGAAAAAAGTCACTTCAAAAACTTACTGAGTGTATCATGGACTTAAATTTGTCCATCCTGCATTTAAAAAATAGCGAAAGCAGTTACTGGTAATATCTTTATCCATAAATTAAGTACACAGAGTCAATTGCCAACCATAGTACACAGCAACAAATTAATTATGGCAGATTAATTAATTTCTGTTCACTATATATCAATAGGCATACCAGCAAGCTAGCCAGCTTATGAGAGGTTGCCTTGCTGGCTCTAGCAGACTTTAGCATTCAGAGAATAATAAATCATTCTGCTGAAAACTACACAAGCATCCTACAAGGTGATCAAAATAATGATGCAGTGTCTGGTTTGAGAGCAAAACTGCTGCACAAAGGGATTTTCAAATGATCTTGAACTGAGCAAAGTTAGTTGCAAACTCAAGGTTCATCAGTGCTGATTTTGCAAAAGTCAAGACATCTGTCCCTTGATGTTAACCAATGATTGCTTGTTCAGCCATTGAAACACAGGGTGTTCTGTTCAGGCTGTTGGAATAGCCACTAGCAAGCAATAGTAGTCATTCAAACTTAGAAGAACAATTCAGCTTTCTACAGTGGGCAAAATTAACTAACAGCCTGCATGCTTACATGGAAATAACTCCTGGTAATGTGTTGAGGAGATGCTCCTAGTTAAAATTGCTTTGGACTGAAAGTTTAAAGTGCTTTTCCATGAATTAAAATGTAGTTATTTATTATTTAAACACAGAGAGACATGCATACCATAAATCCTAGATTTTTTTCTTCTGCTAATGTCATAAAAATCCTTAATGCCAAACAATATTAAACCCAAATCATAGTTAAACTCTTTTAAAAATGAGTTATAAAGTTACAACCTGCTTACACAAAAGCAGAATTTCCAAGAATTTAAACAATTTGGAGATATATCTTCAGTAATAAAAAGTTTGGTAAATATGTCAATTCCTCAAACACAGTTAAGTTGCTTCCTTGTATCATCCCCCATCTACACCTTTGACAATTCATAAAGTGACTCCAGCAATGTTATTGGCACAAAAAAAATCAGTAAGATGAAAATATAATTTCCCTATGGGGTAATCAGGCATTTCAGCTTCCCTTTTCTTCCTCTAAATGTCAACTCGAACTCTTTCAAGAGAGAAATTCAAACACATAAAGATTGACTACAGTAACTTTGATTATGTGTTGTCATATCAGTGTCAATTGTTAGGGATCACATAGATATATTTTCTCTAGGATGATCTTTCTCCAACTTGGTCCTTTGAGGTCTTCTAACAGTGTAGCCATTGCCACTGTAATTGACTCCATCTACCTTGTTGCTGGTTGTCCTCTTCTTTTTTGTCCTTCCATCTTTCTCAGATTTATAGACTTCTCCAAAGAGCTATTAAACATCTTCACTTACTATCTCCAAAATATGATACCTTGATCCTGGTCATACATCCCTTGAATAAAAATTCTGGAGTGATTTTTTTAAATTATATATTTATTTCCTTACCTGTCCAGGTATTGTTAGAAGTATTATCCAACACCAAAGTTCAAAAACATTAATAATTTTCTATCCTGCTTCTTCAAGTCTGGCTTTCACTTCTATATAGGGTCATGGAAATACCATGATCTGCATGATTCGGATTTTTGTAGGTACGGCCACATCCTGGTGTTTGAATATGTTTTCCAAGGCCTTCACTGCTATCTTATCAAGTGTTACTCTATTTCATATATCTTGAGTGCTGGTTCCTTTACTGTTTATAGTGAATTGTAAATGGTAAAAGCTATTCACCACTTTAATATTCTCATGAACAATTCTGAGGCTGGTTGCGTATCTGTTTAGATTAGTTGGCCTTCTATATATTTTAATTCAATCCCTTTTTTCGCTATGTTCTTTAATTTTCATTACAGAGTTAGCAGCATATTTTCATTTCACAGTAGTGTTATCAGCATAACACAGGTTATTGATTTTTTATCCTCGAGTGTTAAAATCACACTCATCTTCCAATTAAGCTTCTCTTAATATAAACTGAGCATAAGGGTTGAATAAATAAGGGGAGATTGTACATCCTTGTCTCATTTCTTCACCCATCCAAGGCAATCTGTTTTTCTGTGTACCATGCAGACTGTGGTATCCTGGCCTGTTTATAGACCCTGGCCTGCCATTTACGCATGTGGCCCAGCTTCCCCTCTTTCCTCCCCAGCCAGGCTGCAAAAGTTGGGGACCACTGGTATAGTTAGACTATCACTACAGCAGGAAAAAAAACCTGATTTTTTATTATTATATACTTTATTCATTAAACATGAAACTCAGCCTGAACATTCAAAAATGCATTACAAATACCATTGACTATTTATTATATACTTTATTCATTAAACATGAAACTCAGCCAACTGAACATTCACAAATACCAGTGACTGGTGCTAATGGTTGATACGGTTTGCTGCCAGTGTCCTAGGTATCAACCAAGTACCTTCTTAAAATATAAGATGTTCCGAGTAGCACAGTTTTTTGCAGTTCCGCTGGTGTTATTGCAGGAAGCTGCAATTTGTTGATATATCTTGTAAAATTCTTGGACATGGTGCCAAGTGTCCCAATGACAATGGGTATCACTGTTACATGCTTCATCCATAGCTGTATAGTTTTGATGGCCAGGTGGTTGTTGTTGTTATTGTTATTATTATTACCTAATTCATGTAAGTTCACAGCTTTACAATTAAATCTGAAGTCAAGATTTTTTTAAAAAAAACATAAGAAAGAGACAGACAGGATAAGGTCCACAGATGAAATATCTTTAGAATCTTTTATTGTTGAAAGATATTAGTTTAACTATTGTACCCAGCCCTAATTTAATAGAAGAATCGAAGACTGATGAAGCCTTGTGGCGTTCCAAATGATATTGGTGTTTCACATTGATGGTATTTCCCAGTTAAGCAATGAAACATCTGCAAGCAAAAACCAAGTTCAGAAAAGATAAAGAATTTCACATTCAACTCTGAATTACAGATATTTTCTTCGATCCATTGAATTGCCATGCCACTAAATTCATATTTAAGTAGTGTATTAATTAGAATGTCACTGTTTTGATGAATGCTATTATACCCACAATCTACGGTACTAAGTAAGTTCCTCATTTAAAAATTGACACAAAATTAATCTAGTGCAAGATTTATTCTTGATAAATATACTCTAACGTCTAGTAATCATCACATTGTTTTAAAGACATTTGTACAGTATAATGATTGTTTTTTTATCTGCTTTATAATTTTCTCAATTCACACTGGCTTGGATTATCTTAAAAAAAATAGGGTAACTATCTGGCTTCCTCCCATCCTCTAGAATTTCACACCTTCTCAGTGATTTTCAAGAACGATACCCACAATTTCTTTCATTCAGGATGTTTTCATTCAATTTGTTTTATCCTGGAGTTCTGAATTCATTTCAGGAAATAGCTATTCCTTGACTTCCATGGCTTACAGCAGTGAGAGTTGTAATCTGACAGATGCTGAAGACATCAGACTGGGGGAGGTTGGTTTTGACTCACCTTTTACCCAAGATTGAAGGATTGCAGCATTAAAGAATGTCAAATACAGGTCAGCCAGCATGCTGGCTAGGAAAATTATAGGAGCTAAAGTCCACACATCTTAATGTTGCGGAATTTTAGAAATGGTGTTTTAGAATGCTGAAGTTTAGGTCTGTTGGGATAAAGAAGTAAGATGATTAAGATCAAATGAAGGAAGTTACATTTTTGTTTTCACAACTGATTCTGTCAGACCTAAACTTTCCAGAGAGCTATTGATTATTAATAAATTGTAAAATCTTACTAGCAATAGGGATGAAATCATTTCTTCAGAAATCTGGGAAAATTATAGATATTACCTTTGGCACTTTCACTGCTGCCTGAACAAACATAGTTTTAATAACATTTTTTGAGAGGGATTGTAAAAAGGATTGGTTTCACAAGTCTTGCAGCTATTTGTCTTTCATATTTATATCTGAAGCCCACTAGAGGGAACTGCTGGCTCTCTGAAGAGAGCCAGCAGTGTCACTGAGCAGTGAAAATAGCCAAGTTCTTTGGCTGCAAAATGCACTGTTTCTTCCTTGTGTGAAATCAACAGGGTGAGCAAGTGGTTGCCAGTTACTCATTTCCAATGAGTCTCCTTACACTCCCTCCCCCACACGTTCCCCTATAACTTCACCCCTACAAACCTTTCTCCCTGCTCTTCATCTTGTTTTCCCAAATGTCTCCTACTTTTCTCTCCTTACTTCTGCATCTCCACCCTTTCCCCACTTTATGCCTTCTACTCTCCACTTCATTGTGATGATTCAAATAGGTGTACCACCCTGTTTTATGCCTTCCTGGCCAATCGGCTTTTCTACTCTCTCCTTTGTTCTGATTTTATGCCCACCCATTCTTTGAACCTCACTATCTACTCTTTCAATTGCTTTTTATCTATTTTTTAGCATTGCACATTATACATGTATTATGCAGATATTCAAGAGACAAAGTAAACACACACGGATGCGGTAGTGACAGGCATACATTATTCTGATTCTGCACAGGAAAAGGAAATCTGAAAGGTCTTTCTTGTGCTGCAGTATAACTCTTTCTTTTACCCAATCAGAATCATCTATAAGACTTTTACAATGCCCCATAACTTATGCCTTTTCAATTAAAGGAGCCTATTGCCATTCTTTAGGATATATGATTATTTCTCTGATAAATTACTGTAAAATATTGCTCTACAGGGCAGGTAATTTCCTTTGACAAGTGTCCCTCTGTACAACTGGAATTCTGCTCTCACTGTACCACCACTGTAATTTCCCATAACACCTCAGAATTTTGTTACAGATGAGTCATTGTAGAAAATTACTGTGTCAGCTAGACTCAGGTTCCCAATACTGCTTAGAGTGCTGGGGCAGATTTTTTTTTAAGACCAGAGGACATGACAACTATCAGCAATGGATTGTACTGAATCCCAAATCTCAGCAACACGTCCATGATATGAAATGTACTATTACATGTGATAACAAAGATGGATAATATAGTAACACAAAAAACTGGGTATTTTTTATTTATCCTACCAACAATGGTCAGATGACAAGACAAACTGAACTCTCTATAGTAATAAGAACTTCTAATAAGGTATGTGTGTATGTATGCGTATGTATGTATGTGTGTATGTATATATGTATATGCAGTATATCTTGTTATTTGTGCATTTTAAAGGCATAGAACTACAGTCCTGGTACAGTCTGCATACCTTGATTAATTGAAAGAGCAATCTTCTACAATAGGATAACTCTTTTCAAAGAATAGTTTTAAGTAGTCAGCATTTGATCCAGTTGCTTGCAAAGTAAAAATAGAGGTGGTTCAAACATATGGAAAGGCTGTTTTATATCAGCAACTGATCCTTGGTATTGAAATATAAGTTTACAGTCAGGCTCTCTGTTTGTTTATTAGCCGTACTTCACATCTTACATACAACTGACATTGTATAGTTTTACTGAATCACATAACCTTCCCTGAAAGTAAGTGTTACTGAACTAAATGGAGCTAATTTCTGAATAGTCACAATTAGGATTGAATTGATAAAATAAAACCAATGCCCCCTTTTAATTAGCGAAGTGAACGGATCATTTTAAAATATAAATTTATTTCTTGAGAATGTTGATGTAGCTTGTATGAGTTTTAAAGTAGTATTAAAATACTCAGCATTAGTAGTATTAAATGACGTAAAGGAAGACTCTCTGTGTGTGTATGTGCACGCGCACACACACATACACACACACACAGAGCTGTCAGAGACCTTTATGTCTGAGTGAAAACATTTAAAGCTCCAATACAAAACAGGAAAAGGAAACCATTTGGTCCAAGTCTTCAAACTCAACTTTATTATTATTATTTTTTTGGTTGCAAAGCATTTTTGTTCCTCTCTTTCCTGTCTGTTTGTCAACAGATGTATGCCGGAGGGAAGCTGCTCTTTGGGAGCTGTGTTTTCAACGGATACAGCTTCAGTAAGAAGGACCTGATGAAACAGATCAACCAAGTTTGCCTTGACTGCAAAAGGGGTCACTTCCTGCCACAGAGCTTCAAATTTAGGTAAAACAGAAAATTGAGGAGGAAAGTAAGAATGGGGAGAGGGAAGGAAATTATCATGCTGAGATGTATGTTTACAACATTAATTTGACAAGAATGTGTTGCAATGAAGGAATGAAATTCCATAAACTCAGTGTGGGGTGAGTTACCAGGAGTAGAAGAGGAGGAGGGGAAATAACAGTAGTAGTAATTTGCTAGCATATTCATTTTTGTTATGGTTAATGGTTTAAAAAATTGGACTCTGAACACATTTGGAACTTAATTTATAAGAATATTCCTATTGTTACTTTTTGCGTCATTTAATTTACAATTTTGTCAAATCTTTTTCCCAAGCAGACTTCTTGAAGTGATCCCCCTATACCTTTTATATCTACTCTGGCTGCATTTCCTCTTTGCCTAGGGAATAATAATTGCATTCTTATAGTCACATGGTGCAGAAACAATATTCATATACATTGTTTAAGACACCCAGCTAGAAATCAAACGACTGTGAGTCCTGCTTTAGCCATGAAAGCCATCTGAGTAACCTTGAAACAGTCACTCTCTCTTAGTCCAGCCGACTTTGGAAGGTTCTGGTTGTGGGGAAAATAGGAGGAGGAGGAAGTGCGGGATATGTTCGCCATCTTGAATTATTTGTAAAAATAATAAGGATGTTGTTGTTAGTTGTGAAGTCGTGTTCAACCCATCATGACCCCATGGACAACGTTCCTCCAGGCCTTCCTGTCTTCTACCATCCTCTGGAGTCCATTTAAGCTCACACCTACTGCTTCAGTGACTCCATCCAGCCATCTCATTCTCTGTTGTCCCTTTCCTCTTTTGCCCTCAATCTTTCCCAGCATTAGGCTCTTCTCCAGTGAGTATAGGGGTGAGATACAATAAATAAAAAGTAAAAAGCAATGTGCACAGTTCATGAGACAACCCATATCCTTATTTTCAAACTACACCAATTATACCAGTTACATCAGCAGCCGTACAACTTTTCAACACTCATGGAATGTAAGAGATTATTTGCAACACATTTTTTCTTGGGTACTAATGCTTATAACCTTCATATCCAAACCACTATTCGATTTGATTTGTTAATTAATTAATTCATTATTTTAAGCATATGGCATGTGTTAGCCAGGGATCACCGAGGTGGCTGCCTGCCTCTGTGAAAGCAATTTTTTGGGCAGTGTTATCTCACCCAAAGGTGACTGAATGCCAGTAGGCAATCAGGGAAGGCTCCTTTCCTGTCCCTATGCGGTTTATTTGCTCATGGGAATCGAGCTGCTGACTTCAACAGACCGCAGGCTCAGCTTCTTACCACGTGAGCCACCGCAGCCCTGGATTCTTTAATATCTCACTACTATGTATGACTAAGAGAGAGAAAAGCAAAGCATATGGGGTAAAGTTGCAGTTGCAGCTGTCATTTTGACTTTTATTTTACCTCCATGGATACCCCTGAACCTGGGGAAGATGCAGTTAAGGACAGGTATCTGCTCCTATTTAACCTGGCAAATCTGCTGCAGGCTGGCTTCCCTCCCTCCAATCCCTGGATATAGTGACTTGCCATTTCCCCTTGGTTGTGAGAGAAATTGCCTACAAACCTTCCACAATCTGTTCCCCCCCACCCCCATATAGAATATTAACCTAGTGGGGTCAACATAGCCATGGAAATAGTGCATTCCTGAGGAAGGCATCCTTCTAAAACAGAGATCAAAAAAGTCTTGTGCTTGCCTCACTACTGTAGTATCACTCTAATAGCACAGCTATCTTATTATTTTCATTGAGCAGGATAGTTTCGCACAACCATCCCCATGTTGATATAGTCAGGATGATGAGACAGCGTTTTAGGTGTCCCTCACCCACGTTCACACTCTCTTTCATACCAAGGAAACTTCCTTTGCCCCCCTGATCCAACTTGATGGGGAACCTGCAATGTAATTAACATTTAGGTTAGCTTTGTCATCTACAAAAATCACATTTAAATGGCAGGAGCTTTAACTTAGAAATATACAATGTATCCAAGAAAGAAAGAGAAGCCAGAGAGTTTTCCTCACTGTGGTCAAACAACAGAGATTTTATGGGTAAGGAAATAAAAGGGGAACAAGACAGTGGGAAAACCCCTAAACTTGTCTCTTATCTGCTCCAAGCAAATTTTTTGTTGTGTTTATTGAGCTCCCTTTCAATACTTAATGTTTCTTTAGGGGTAAATACTTCAAGGGACGTAGTGGGTCAGTGGCTAAGATGCTGAGCTTGTTGATCAGAAAAGTCACCAGTTCTGTAGTTTGAATCCCTAGAACCATGTAATAGAGTTATTTGTCTCAGCTTCTGCCAACCTAGCAGTTTGAAAGCACGTAAAAATGCAAGTAGAAAAATAGGAACCACCTTTGGTGGGAAGGTAACATTGTTCCATGCACCTTTGATGTCTAGTCATGCCGGCCACATGACCATGGAGGCATCTTCAGACAGTGCTGGCTCTTTGTCTTTGAAACGGAGATGAGCACCGTTTCTCCCAGAGCTCCGGCAGGCCAGCCAAGGAGGAGCCCGGACGAGGCTGGAGCGAGAGCCGCAGAGGCGAAAGGCTGGCCACTCAGGGCTTGGAAGGGGGAGCGGAATGCGGGTCCTCCGCTCCTGGAAAGTCCGGGTAGAGAAGCAGGGCTGGCTCATTTCCTCCCGGGGCTGCTTGGAGATGGAACCGGGGCTGTGGAGACTCGCCCGCGGCCGGCTTCTCTGGAGTGGAGGGCGGGCTGATAGAAGCAGAGCTGAGCCTCGTGCCACTGTGGGCCTGGCTTGTGGAGTGCAAAAAGGGGAGGGGCCTCTTGGAACACGACCCCCCCTCTTCGCCTTTCGCCTCCGCGGCTCTCGCTCCAGCCTCGTCCAGGCCCCTCATTTGAAGAAGTCAGCTTCTTTTTACCACTTTAAATATTTCTGTTTCAACTGGTGAACCAAATAATACATACATGTTGCAGTGAATTTTGGGAAGTGT